GTAAGTCCTGTTTAGTCCCTTTTTTATTCAGCATTAGGTGTGTGTGTCTTCTCTTTCTTTTTTCCTTTCCTTTTTTTTAATCTTGGAAAAAGAAACAAAACAAAAACCACTTTTTTTTTTATCCTTCTCCTCCTCCTCACGTAGGGCCTCTCACTCTGACCTGTAGCTGGATTTATTGCAGGAGCGCGCTGACATTGTTTAGCACACACTTAGCAAGAAATATTTTTCACATTATATGCTTTTATTTTGTTAGTGTTTTTATTTATATGTATTTGTAGTTAAAGAAAAACAGCGGGTAATGATCAAAAACTGACCGCAGGTCCAACACTATGAATAAATGACTGCGGCGGTAAAACCAGATTATAAATCGGCGCTACTTTCCAAATAATACTTGTAACAATCCGCGAGGAAAGGTCGTTTTCCGTGACTTTAAAGAACTTTATTTTCCTGCGGATCTATTTTCTTAGTAGCCATAAGTCGCCTCTGCTCTGAGATCCACGATGTCAGGCTCCGTGACTTATTAGTTTGTCCGCCACAGTTTCCCCTATATTTCTCCAAGAGGATGTATTATATTTTTCTTACGTCACCGCCAATCGGTATCTCGCGTTATCAGAAAGACGCGTTTTCAGTGACAACAGAGTATTTCTTGGGGGGTGGGAGGGACATGAGCTTGTTTATTTTATGTGAACATCTGATAAACAAATGTAATCAATATCTGGACTTTAATGCATTAACTTTAAGTTTACACAAATTTGGTGACCCCCACCCCCCTCTCCTACCCCCACCCACTTCATCCACTCCCTACACATCCAGGCTGTCTCTCTGTCTCTTCCCATGGTCTGGAAAATGAGTTGGAACAGCTGTTCAGAGGATTAAAATCCGATGGAAGGGTGGTCTGAATAAACAGAAAAATGTTGGATTTTTCAGAAACCTAATGAACAGCGTGTAACCAAGCGTCCACGCGGGACATCCGATTGTTCACCTGAAAGTTTTGGTTAACACCAATCTGAATGTCTTTACACCAGTTAGGCCCGTGAGTTGGCACCACTGGGTGCCCTTTTCCAGCCAGACTGTATTGCTCCCATCCTTTAAAAGTCAGTTAAGGATTGGTCTTAAATTACTCAGGTGGGCATATTTAAATCATGTTATTGTCATGTGATCAGGTTCAGTTTCACAACAGCTTAATTGCTTTGATTCTATACACACACACACACACACACACACACACACACACACACACACACACACACACACACACACACACACACACACACACCCCTAGTGTAATCCAGTAAAGCTATAGAGGAAGAAGAAGAAGTGTGGAAAAGAGACACAGCGGCCAGTAAAGCACTCTGCTTCTGGCCACCAGTCAGAAAAAATGAACTCATAGCTCGTTTGATTGACAGGTAGGGCTGATCTACTGTGCTCTCTCGTCTCCTGGTTGTGTGCGCACATGTGTAACTGGAGTGCTGGACTGGCTGTGCTGGTTGTTTTGTGCTGTACAGGCAAAGCTGGACCCTTTCCCCCTCTTCATGGGATACCAGGAGGTCATAATGTCAGACTGCCTGGGACACTGTGTTCCATTTATAACACACAGTCAGTTACAGGCCCATCCGCCTCAAAACCCACAACCGCTAAAAGGCTAAATATTACACACACACACACACACACACACACACACACACACACACACACACACACACACACACACACACACACACACACAAATATCACCTCAGGCCTCAAACAAGCAGGTCACTCTGATAAGACATTGTAAAACTCCAAATGAGGGCTTTTTAGCGTGACATGGAATATTTGCATTGAAAGCGCATGACTTAGAGATTTATGAAGGTTTCTGTGATTATTGTCAGTGAGAAATGTGACTGAGGGCCACCGTGCGTCAGCATGCAGACATTTACTGTCGTTTTTTTGGTTTTTTTTGCAAAGAAAATCAGAGCTCTCTGTGGTGGCAGAGACAAAGACAAGATGAGTCGGGTGCATTTTTGGCAGCAGGGAATATAGATTTGAATTAAGTAGCATGTAGTTTTTATCTCGAGCTGCATGCAGAGAGAGGCAGAACCAACTGCGTCTCATTCAATATCAGCACAGCTGTCCCAGCATCCGTGGAGAATGGATTCCTACTGCTATTGCCATGGGAGGCTCCAGCCAAGAAGAATGGGAGGATATCCAGTGTGTGCGCTTGTGTTTTAAAAGGAAGGCGAGGAGTGAGAGGGGCGAGGAATATGCTGGTGTGTCTGTGTGCACACATGTCTGTATGCGTGTGTATGTTTGCGTGATTTTTGCATGTGTGTGTCATGTTGTCTCCACCCGCCTCACTTTTCCTTCGCTCATGTCACCTCTGGCATGGATTAGTCTCTGGCACAACCCTGGCAGTGCCGGCGGCCCCAGTGCGGTTCTGTGGTCGCCGATATGTTGTGCCGTTGCCATGGCTACTGAACACACACACACACGGGTGCTAAATTACATAATTGAGCTAGAATATACAGAGGAACACAAAATACTTAGTGTACAATGTGAGCAGAGAAAAGGGAAAAGGGAAAACCACCGAGACAAAGTGTTCCTTTACCAGAATATGAACCGAGAGCTCAAAGCTGACATGCATTGGTGAATATCTAAGAGCTTTGTCATAGCTTAACACATCGGTACAGTGTGTTCTTTCCCTTGATTTTGAGTCATAAATCTACATAAGAGTGCTGCCATTATGCGGATGTTTGGAACAACAGGCAGTTGAGGGAAAGGTGTTTGTGGTGGCACACACGTGCATGTGTGTGCGCACGCGTGTGTGTGTGTGTCTGTAAAAGCCAAAAATGTCTGTTTGATAGGGGTGTGGCAGGTTAAGTTTACACAAATGCATCATTCACATAATTCCTCAAGTTCATCTCATTGTCCTCGTCCTGAGCTGTAGATTGGCCCAACTGGATCGTCGGTGCGCTACGAATTTAAAATCTTTGAATTGGAAAAGTAGCAAACACCAAATATCCCCCAACCAGGATTATCAGTAACCCTTACTCCATTGAGTTGCATATTAACCCAGAATTAGCATCCATTCGAGCTGCGGTGTTGTACACTTAATAATAATGGATTGGATTTTATATAGCGCTTTTCAAGGCACCCAAAGCGCTTTACAATACCACTATTCATTCACTCTCACATTCATACACTGGTGGAGGCAGCTACGGTTGTAGCCACAGCTGCCCTGGGACAGACTGACAGAAGCGAGGCTGCCATAACGCGCCATTGGCCCCTCTGGCCAATACCAGTACCAGTAGGCGGTAGGGTAAAGTGTCTTGCCCAAGGACACAACGACCAGGACAGAAAGCCCGGGGATCGAACCGGCGACCTTCCGGTTACAGATGTGCTTCCCAACCCAGCCACGGTCGGTGGTCTCTATTTAAAAAAAAGCTTATTTTTTGTCTTATTAGACTGATCCATTATGGGGGGAGGGCAAAAAAATTGCAAAAACAGAGTGCTAATTAAATTGTCAAGCATTTGATTAAAATTTTACTTGATGTGAGGAAAATATTCAGCAGAGCCAACCTCTTTATTCCAATAAAACCCAATATGCAGCGCAACTGTGTTTTGGCCTCAGGACGAGCAGATGTTCAAACCTTGGACCTCTAACGGCTTGAAAAGGTTCAAGATCTGAACTCTCATGAAGAACTGAGGCATAATTTTAATTTGCATAGCAGCTTTAGTGTATTTATTGGTTGCTATCGCTCAGCTGTTAATTCATAATTGCATATCAGTTTGACAACATGTTTATGTCGAAGCAACAAAAGAAGTCCAGTAGACAAAACTGTCACTGCTATAAAAGGTTTTAGTCAATAAAGTCGTGATGCAGATTGTGAAATGAAAAATGTTGTACATTTCTCAGTGTTTAGTTAGTTTTGTCTCGTGTTTAGAGCCACCGACGGCCGACTCAGAAACGTTTCTAAGCGTGCTTTGTTCTTGTGTTGAGTAAATTTGAACGACTGCCAGTATCAACACACGGCGCGAACGTTGACAGTAATTCATTCTCTGCTCTTTCTTTTTAATCAACAGCATTTCCGTGAAAAGACAAGCCGAGTGATATTGAAGTTCTTTTGTGCCCCACAAAATAGAAACTAAAGGCCAAAACCCGCGAGTGGGGTGAAACAGCCGCTGCATCAGTCTGTCACAAGTCAACAGGAATAGATAGAGATTTGTTTTGCGGATCATTGACAGCCCACTCAAGGTCACTTCAGTGTGGGCAATCTGGGCATGTTGTTTGGCCTGTCCTGCCTGTCTGTCTGACCTACATCTCACTGCTCTGGCTAAATATATACAGTAGACCCCTCATTACAAAGCTTCCAGATTAATCTGGATGAAATCTGAGCACCGTTCTCCCCCGCCGTGTCTGACTGCAGTCTCTCTTCACAGACTTCCACAGGCTGACTTTCTATCTCACCCAGTCTCTCAGACACTAATATTCAAAAACTAAAGAAATAAATGAAGCTGGCAGATGAAGTCTTTCATACAAATGTGGCACACACTTATGCGTTATCATCTTGTAAATAAGATAAAAGCCACAAAGGCTTCTGCTTGTTCAGAAACAAACGTCTACACGTACAGTACAGCATTTCTGCAAATTCAGTCCTAATGTTGGCTATATACGCTATGTTTTGCTGGGCTTCAAGCCTGAAGCACCTGCACATACTTAATTCCACAAGACACAGGTGTGCATTCTTTCAGAAAAAAATCACACCCATCACGACTCTGTTGTTGCAATAGACCGTTTACTGTATTTAATTAACCACAGTATTTAAAAGTAGTCACACAGTCCTGTGAAATGAACTCCAGTACCCTTTTAGTGACAGCTCCCCCCGGCCTAGACATGTTTATTTAGAAACGCATTTAATACTGCTGATTTTATAAAAGGGGATGTTACTGCTTTAATTTTGATAAAGAAGCAAAATATCAGTCATAATCCATCTTTTTTGGCTAATTTATCCAGTTTATTT